TGATCTCTGTGTCCCTGAAGCCAAAGGTCTGCGTCATTTGGTCCTGCTGGAAGCTAAGGTCCCCACAGGCTGGAAGCACCAAAGCCAGAAACTTCTGCACGGCCCCAGCGTAGGACCGGCCATCGCAGGCCTTGAGGACCTGGAAGCAGGGAGGAGAGGCTGGGGGACGTTTCTCAGCACGTGGGAGGCAGACCCCCTTCTGCCCAGTTCGTCCCACCTCTCATACTTTCCTCCCCCTCCTTCCTGTCCCTCCTATTACTACCAACCAGAGCCCGTGCCCTGGGAGGTGTGGTGGGAGAGCCGCCTGCCCCCGCGCCCCGAGCCACACGCACTCTGGTCCTGTAGTCCTCGGTGAGAACAATCCCGTGGGCGTCCAGGTCGAAGCCCAGCTGGATGACTCTGATCTCCCCCTGTTCCTGAAGTTCCTTCTGTTTCCAGGAAGATGGGGGTGAAAAGAAGGCTATCAGGGTAAGATGCTCTACCATACCTGGGGGACGCTGCCCATACTGGGGAGCTTTTCTCCAAGTAAAGGGAAAACTGTGGGGAGAATCAGGGGAATCACCAAAGAGTATTTTCCAATTGGTTACCCACCCTCCCATCCACCCACCTCATCTCTTATGTTAAACGATCAGTACACACTTTCCAAGACTAATCATATGCCAGACACTAAGTAAGATAAAACAGTGATTAAGACACAGACCCTGCCCAGCTGGTGTGGCTCAATGGTTGAGCATCAACCTATGAACCAGGAGGTCACGGGTTGACTCCCAGTCAGGGCACATGCTGGGGTTGCATGCTCAATCCCCAGTGGGCGGGGGGCGTGCAGGAGGCAGCCAATCATTGATGCTTCTATCTCTCTCTGCTTCTCCCTTCTTCTCTGAAATCAATAAAAATATATGTATATTTTAAAAAGACACAGACCCTGCCCTCAAGGAAGTAAGTCTAGACTGTGGGCAGAGGAAAATAGTGAAGAATATGGGATAAAATGTTTACAACAAATAAAAATCAACCAGGACTAGTGTTTCTAAGAATACAGCAAGAACTAACTCACCTGCTGAAAATTAATTAAAATGCTGGATAAAATATTGTTTTTAAAATTGTTAAGCATCAAAGAGCTCACAAGGTAATACGTCAACAAAAAACTCATAGAAATAATGGGGCTCTGTGGCAGGTGTGCCTAGGTGGTTAGAGCATTGGCCTGAGCACTGAAGGGTCGCAGGTTCCAATCCTGGTCAAGAGCACATGCCTGGGTTGCAGGATCAATCCCCGGCGGAGGCAACTAATCGATGTGTCTCTCACATCGATGTTTCTCACTCTCTCCCTCCCTTCCACTCTCTCTAAAAATCAATGGGAAAAAAAAATATCCTCAGGTGAGGATTAACAACAACAAAGATGTAATTGGAAGATGGAGGGCATTTGATGATTTAGGCAAATCTGTCCAGCACAGTCAAAAATAACTGGGTTTGGCTCAGTGGATAGAGCATCAGCTTGCAGACTGAAGGATCCCAGGCTCAATCCCCAGTAGGGGGCATGCAGGAGGCAGCTGATCAATGATTCTCATTGTTGATATTTCTCTCTCTCCCCCTCTCCCTTCCTCTCTGAAATCAATAATGATATATTTTAAAAAATAATAACTGGGCATAAATAAGTAAATGAACACACAAGGAAACAAAATTCAAAAGAAACAGACAATAGAAACAGACCCCAAAAGACATGTTATCAGGGAATTATCAAAAACAGACTACTGCCGAAACTGGTTTGGCTCAGTGGTCCCAGGTTCGATTCCGGTCAAGGGCATGTACCTGGGTTGCGGGGAACCTCTCCCAGTGGGAAGATGTGCAGGAGGCAGCTGGATCGATGTTTTCTCTTCTCATCGATGGTTTCTACTCTCTATCTCTCGCCCAAAGAAAATCAAATAAAAATATATTTTTTAAAAAAACAGACTACTAAAAAACCCCTATGTGTATAATGCTTAAATAATAACAGTCAAGATAGAATTTTTTAGCAAGAAATTATATAAACTGACATAATATGTTGAAAAATAACCAAATAGAAATTCTAGAACTGGCAAGTGCAATTAAGGACACAATGGATGGGTTTAATGTATTAAGGCACAGCTAAATAAAAAGCTACTAGCCTGTAAAACAGATTTTATAAAACTAACAAGGATATAATACAGTAAAAAAGATTGAAAATGCAGACAAGAAGCTAAAAGACGTAAAGGATACAAAGAGAAGGTCCAATGTATGTGTAGTTGAAGTCCAAGGAGGAATGAAAAGAGATAAGGTAGGGGAAATATTTGAAAAGACAATAACATATCCACAATCACAAAAGTATATTAGATTATGTGGGAGGAGAGACCAAATTGGCGGCATAGGTAAACACCGGAGACTGCTGCCGCAAACAACCACTTCAAAAATACAACTAAAAGACGGAACGGACATCACCCAGAACCACAGGAAGGCTGGCTGAGGAGAGATTCTTCAACTAGAAGGAAAGACAACAGCATACCGAGGCTCAGAAGAGGCGCAGTGTGGAAAATACAAAGGTACCGAGGTGCGTGCGCAAAGCGGGCTGGTGGCTGAGGGCGCGGTTGTCGGTTTCAATCAGGAGGGAGTCTC